AGCAGTTTCTTAGAAAGCTAAGCATGTATAACCCATCAATTCCACTCCTAGGCATCTAACCAAAAGAAATGAAAATATATGTCCACAGAAACTTACATGGCTTCACATTACTCATAATAGGCAAAAACTAGAAACAACTCAAATGTCCATCAACTGATGAATATACAAAATGTGGCAATATATATACAATGGACTACTCAGTATTACAAAGAACAAACTGACACATGACGCAGTATGGATGAACCTCAAAACATGCAAAGGGAAAGTGGCCAGACACAAAGGACAATGTATTTCAAAATTCCATTTCTATGTAATTTCTAAAAAGGATAAACCAGGCTGGGCACAGTGGCGCATGCCTGTAATCCCAGCACATTGGGAGGCCAAAGTGGGAAGATCACTTGAGGCTAGGCATTCGAGATCAGCCTGCCCAACATGGTGAAACCCTGTCTCTACTAAAAACACAAAAATTAGATGGAAGTGGTGGCAGGTGCCTGTAATTCCACCTACTCAGGGGGCTGAGTCAGGAGAATTGCTTGAATCCAGAAGGCAGAGATTGCAGTGAGCCAACATTGCACCACTGCACTTCTGGGCAACAGAGCAAGGCTCCAGCAAAGAAAAGAAAAAGAAAAACCTATGGAGTCAGAAAATGGATCGAGCCTGGGGCTTGGAGTGGGAACAGGACACAAAGAAATTTCTGAGTTTGAGAGAAATGTTCTAAAACTTGATCACAGTGATGACTGCGCAACTATGTAAGTTTACTAAAACTCACTGAACTGTACATTTAAAATTGATGAATTTTAAGGTATGAAAATTTCTACTTGGCGGGGCGTGGTGTCTCACGCCTGTAATCCCAGCACTCTGGGAGGCCAGGGCAGGCAGATCATCTAAGGTTAGGAGTTTGAGACCAGCCTGGTAATATGGCGAAGCCCCATCTCTACTAAAAATACAAAAATTAGCTGGGTGTCATAGTGTGTGCCTATAGTCCCAGCTACTTGGGAGGCTGAGGTAGGAAAATCACTTGAATCCAGGAGGCGGAGGTTGTAGTGAGCCAAGATCATGCCACTGCACTCCTGCCTGGGCAACAGAGCAAGAGTCCATCTCAAAAAAAAAAGAAAATAAAGGAGAAAATTATGTATGAAACATCACAACTACTAAAATATATAACAGAAAAAGGAATATTCTGAATTACAATTATGTCAGAATGCTACAAAATTACAGATTTTCTTATTCTCAAATTCTGAGAAACGCACTTGTTACCTTAATAGTGAAAAACAGTAAAGTGTCTTGCCAGGAAAAGAACTACTGTATAAATTTTATCATTTCCTCAAAACAATTCGTTGATAACTATGAAACAAACAGTAAATATTTATGTATTTTTAATAACTGTATAAATAAATACTAACCTTCCAGCTAGCAGTACAATGCCAATCACCACTTTCACTTTTATCCCAGACCTATAAGAAAATAAAAGGCAGATATTTTACACAAGAATTCTTACAAATTGATACAAAACCCATAAGACCGAATCACTGTACAAGCAAAGGGGTGAACATATAATTCACAAAAGGATACAAACAGTAAGTAAACATTCATTCATTCAATTAAATATTTATTGAGAGGCCGGGTGTGATGGCTCTCGCCTGTAATCCCAGCACTTTGGGAGGCCAAGGCAGGCAATCGCCTGAGGTCAGGAGTTCAAGAACAGCCTGGCCAACATGATGAAACCCCATCTCTACTAAAAACAGAAAAATTTGCTGGGCATGGTGGCATGCACCTGTAATCCCAGCCACTAGGGAGGCTGAGGCAAGAAAATCACTTGAACCCGGGAGGCAGAGGTTGAAGTGAGCCAAGATCACACCACTGCACTTCAGCCTGGGCGACAGAGTGAGACCGTTCTCAAAAAATACATATTTATTGAGAACCCTGAATGTGTCAAGCACTGGGCCAAGCACTGAGGGATTCAGGTAACTGAGCTCTAATAGGTAACAGAGACAATTAGTCACAGTCAAATCTCCTTATTCAAGGTAGTTATCTTCTACAGAGTGCCTCCACCACAGACACATTGCTCCTAGTGGAAATACAGGGTTAGGTTCCTGTGAGTCTCTGGCCTACATTTTTGTCAACCAATCAGTACATGATCTGGTTTTATGTGTGTTTCTGTTTAAAGGTAACTTATTTAACACAAACTGGTTTATTCATCAATATTGAACTCAGCCAACAGCACTGTAACTCATGTCTGAAAAAAGCTTCTGTAACACACATACTATCTCTGTAAAGCACATCACCTCCTTCCTCTGTTTAGAAACTAGACAGCACTTCACAGCACTATTCTTGGAAGCCATTTTAAGCAGCGAAATCACCAACAGAAAGAAGGAATAATGCAAAAATCACTGCACTTTTAGATCATGAAAAACACCTGTTTACAGTACAAGCCAAAATAGAGTATCACCTGGTTTCACCTCCACAGGAAATGTCTGTCCTGAGACTCAAGCTTTTCATCATTCCACACACATGCACAAAGGACTGCAAAAGCAGTGTGGATTCTGATTTGGGGGGGTACAAGTAAATTTCAGAGAATACACAAATTCAAAAAAATACAGAATCTACAAACAACAGGCTCAACTGTACATGCAACAAATGGCAAAGCAAAAACACTAAAACCAGATATGGTGGTACACACCTGTAGTCCCAGCTACTCAAGAGGCTGAGACAGGAGGGATTACTTGAGCCCTGGTGTTTGAAGCTATGATCACATCCATGAATAGCCATTGCACTCCAGCCTGGGCAACATGGCAAGACTCCTTCCCGAAACAAAAAATTGAACCTTACTACCCAGAAAAAATATGGGATACAGTAAGAAGATGCCAATTTCACCCGTTAAAAATGTAACGAGGGCAATGACACTATCAAATCAATACTATCACTAGCAGTATAAAACGGTACAACCTGCAAGGTAGCAACTTGTCAATTCTCTTCAGTAGCTTTTAAAATATTCACTAATTTCTCTTCTGAAATTAGCCTAAGAAAATCATTCAAAATACATAAAATGCTAATGAGAATTTTCAGTGCAACACTATTTCTGACAAGACATATACGTATTTACATACACTCTACCATGATGGTTTAAAACGTTAAAGGAAAACCAGAGGAAATCAAATAGTAACAAAAATTATCAATGTGCCTACAAGTAATTTTTTCACTTTCTAAAAAGAAAAATATATTACTTGCTCATAAAATATACATACAAATAAATAAATACATGGCTCCTACATTAAAAAAAAAAAAGTGCTCTGGAATAAGCGTACATAACAGGGCTGGGAAAGGTGACTCACACCTGTAATCCCAGCACTCTGGTAGGTTGAGGTGAGAGGATCATTTGAGCCCAGTAGTTCAAAACCAGCCTGAGCAACATCACAAGACCCTGTCTCTACAAAAAAAAATTTTTTAATTGGCCAGGCGTGGCGGTGTGTGCCTGTAGTCCAAGCTACCGGGGAGGCTGAGGTGGGAGGATCACTTGAACCTGGGAGGTTGAGGCTGCAACAAGCCAAGATCGCGCCACTGCACTCCAGCCTGGGTAATAGAGCCAGACCTCATCTCAAAAAAAAAGAGAAAATATTATCCTAAGTAAAATAAACCAAATGTAAAAGGATAAATATTCTATGATTCTATTTATCTCTAGTACCTAGAACATGCAAATTCATAGAAAGCAGAAGAATAGAGGTTACCAGAGGACTGAGTGGAGGAAATCGGGTGCTCTTGGGTACAGTTTCAGTTTAGGATGATGAACAGGTTGTGGAGATGGACAGTGATGGTGCTGTATAGCAATGTGAATGCTGTACTCAATGACACTGAATTCTACACTTTAAAACGATTAACGTAGTTTATTAAAACAAAAATAAACTTGTTTAAAAAAAACCTAAACCTTTTAAGAATTGCAACACTATTTATAAAAAGTTTATCTTTAAGAGATCACTGGTATCAAACTCGAATGTGAAAAAGGAAAAACTGTCCTTTAGATTTTCAGTTACTCTGGAGTTGTGGAGAACCAAATAATCCGCACTCCAGCTTTCATTCAGGGAGTTTCCTAAATCCCAAATAGCATCCCCACATTAGAAATTCTCTTTGTCGAAAGCGTCTACAGACGTTTACGAGAGCTTCAAGAAACAAACAGTCCGAGTCCTAGGCAGCAGGCAGAGAAGTCATTGGATGTAAATGGTTTGTGTTTTCCTTTCTTGACGAAACAAAGTGAGCTTCTGCTCGGAACCCACGAAGAAAACCATGCGCCCTGGTGAGAGAACTCCGGCGGGGCACAAACCTCAAGACACCGCCAGCCAAGCAAAGACTCCCACCAGGGCACGGAGAGAACAGCACGGGCAAGGCCCAAGACTCCCAGGCGGCCAGTGGGACGCCTGCCCGCAGCCAGGGAAACGCGGCCGGTGCAAGCGCCCGGCGTCCCCTGCGGGCGGGAGCGCGCACGTGGCACCAGCTGCGCAGGCGCACGGGAGCGCGGCCCGCGAGGCCGCCGTGACCCTACAATACACGGGCGGGAAGGGATACCGCCGCATCCAGCCAGGGCTAGCCCGCCACCCCAGAGCTTCCAGCTCAGTCAATGAAACCAAGTCATAGCCCCGTTTCCCGCGTCGCCCACCCCACTCTCCCTCCTTCCGGGCTCGGCCCCGCCCGCAAGCGCCTCGCGCACCTTAACGCTCTGATCGCTGGAGCAGGTCGCCATCCGCCTCCCGTGGAAATCGAAAGAGACATCGTGAATGAGATCCTTGTGGTCGGCCGCGATGCTACGCGCCACAAACATGGTTTCCGCCGGGCCCGCGCCTCCGAAGAGAGCAGTGGCGGCGACAGTAGCGGCGGCGGCGGCACGGGGCTCGCAGCCTAGCCAGACTTAGCCGCCCGAGCGCGCACAGCGCGTGCTGCCCACGCCCCCGCACCGCCCCTGCCCATTAATCCCCGCCCACACCCCCGGCCCGTCGTCCCTCGCCCCACCGCCTGTCCCTCAAGCCCCGCCCCACCCGCTGGCCCGTCAGGCCTCGCACCGCTCCCTGGCTCGTCGAGCTCCGCCTACCCCGACCCCTCTCCCGCCCCGTGCCTCGCCCCACCCTCCCGCCCCCTCCAACCCCACCGTGTCCCCCTAGTGTCAAGCCCTGGCCTGCCCCCGGTCCATCAGGCCCTGCGAGCCTGGCGAGAGTGCTCCCGGGCTCCGACAGTTCAGCAACAGAGGCTGCTCTACAAAACGGGAATTAACCTATGCTGAGATGGAGGTAGTAAGAGCTTCTCGGTATTGTAAGGTTAGCCAAGAGAAAGGAGAATAGACCCAAAGTCAGGCAAGCACGTTTTATTAACCTGCGGGGCTGCCCCGTAACAGTCAGAGGAGGCAGCCCTGAGCTTACAAAACGAGGGATTTACATGGGGTGAGAGGGGCATAAGGGAGTTTCAGGACTGAGATTATTTATTTATTTTTATTTTTATTTTTTTTGAGACGGAGTTTTGCTCTTGTTACCCAGGCTGGAGTGCAATGGTGTGATCTCGGCTCACCGCAACCTCTGCCTCCTGGATTCAAGCAATTCTCCTGCCTCAGCCTCCCGAGTAGCTGGGACTACAGGCGAGCGCCACCATGCCCAGCTAATTTTTGTATTTTTAGTAGAGACGGGGTTTCACCTTGTTGACCAGGATGGTCTCGATCTCTTGACCTCGTGATCCACCCGCCTCGGCCTCCCAAAGTGCTGGGATTATAGGCGTGAGCCACCACGCCCGCCAAGACTGAGATAATTTAACAGCTTGTAACGGGCACACAGATAGTTTGTTAACTTGTGACAGACTGATATTATCCTCTGACTTTTGTGGCGGTGGTTTTTTAAAAAACCCAGGATTTTACAGTTATGTGTCAAACAGGAATTTACAAGTATAAATAACAAACATTTGTTTTCCCTGTCCTTCCCGAAGCTGCTCGGATGGCTGTAATCAAGCTTTGCTTAATTGTAGTACGTCTAATACCCTTGACGTGGCGCCTAGAATAGGAGTTCTGAAATGCAGCTGCAGAGCAATGGTGGGGAGGAGTTACCTTGCGCGGAGGGGTTTTCTGAGGCAGCTTGTCCGAACATTCCAGCCTTTTAATAGGTAATAGAGGAGCGGCAACGTCTGGGGAGAGGCTAGATTGTAGGGATTGCTGTTCCTGGAATATTCTTGGAGCAGCATTGTATTTGGATTGTTTCATGGGTGAAAGCTTTAATGCGGTCCTGTAAAAACTGGGTGAGGAGCTGTAAGAGGCAGGGGCCAATGCTAGAAGTAGGAAAAGCGTTATGGCAGAACCTAGGAGGGGCAATAGCCAGGGTGCCCAGGAGTTACAGAACTAGTAGGGCCAGGTGAACTGTCTTTAAGTTTTTGTGCTTGGTCTTTGAGTTTTTGACAGCATTCTGAGGCAGCTTGTCCCTAACAGGTATAATGTACAAATGAAGAAAGATGCAGAAGTGGACTGTGTCGCACGTTACTCGGCCCTGAATCATTTACGGCCCTGAATCATTTACGCCTACGTTTGGATGTGTTCCCCCACCCCCAACCCCAGACACATGTGAGGCTCGTGGAGCAAGTGGAGGCCAACCGTGGGTTTGGTCAGGGGCTGCACTTGGCTGGCTGGGAGGGCTGAGGAGGGCAAGGCATACACCTGAGGGGATGACAGGGTGTCCAGGCTCGGCAGCAGAAGAGCAAAGGCTGGAGGGGGAGGAAAGGATCAGAAGTAGTGGTTTAAATATGTCAAGACTTCACCAGTAGAACAGGCCTGGGGTGCTAAGAGCCACCAAGAGGGTAGGAAAATAGTAGGAATTAGAAGAGTGCCAGTAAAAACGTGTCACCCAGGTTGGGCACGGTGGCTCACGCCTGTAATTCCAGCACTTTGGGAGGCCGAGGCGGGCGCATCACAAGATCAGAAGTGAGACCGGCCTGGCCAACATGGTGAAACCTCGTCTCTACTAAAAATACAAAAATTAGCTGGGCGTGGTGGTATGCGCCTGTAATCCCAGCTACTTGGGAGGCTGAGGCAGAAAAATTGCTTGAACCCGGGAGGCAGAGGTTGCAGTGAGCCAAGATTGCCCCATTGCACTCCAGCCTGGGCGACAGAGCAAAACGCTGTCTCAAAAAAACAAAAATAAACAAAAAACATGTCACCCCGGAGGAAGGAAGCTGCTGGAAGAGGTGGGTGGCCTGCTAGCCGGGACCCAGAGTCCTCCAGAGAAAAGGTAGTGAAGAGGGTCGGAGCCCCTGGGAGGAGGCCTGGCTCAGATCAAGGATTCTGCCAAAACCAGAATATGAAGGACCTCTTCTGAGAACGCCCACGACTCAGGAGGTTTGCTTATCAGGAAAAGGCATTCTAGAGGGCATAGTGGTAAAGTTAGGAAGGGAGACAGTGGAAGCTTGTGTCAGTGGAGTGAAAGTACAGGAAAAAAACAAAAGAAACAAAAAAGCCTTAAAATGAGGCAGCAGAAGGACTTTTTAGATTTTAGCCAGGAATGACAAGAATGTGAAGTATGGTAAGATTAGCAGGCTGGAAAGTTTTTAAAATAATTAGTCCCAGCTGTTCCCTGATGGATTGATCAGAAACCTGCAAAGAGAGGTGGCCAAATGACCTGAACTTTTATAACTACAAATAAGATTTTATTGCTACTTTAAGAGGTGGGCCCCTCCTCTTGTGATAACTGATAACAGCTATAACTTTTTTGAAGGTTAGAGACAGTCATTTCCAAAGAAAGTACTCACCATAAAAGTCCAATCAAAATATATATATATATATATATATATATATATATATTTTTTTTTTTCTTGAGACGGAGTTTTGCTCTTGTTACCCAGGCTGGAGTGCAATGGCGCGATCTCGGCTCACCGCAACCTCCACCTCATGGGTTCAAGCAATTCTCCTGCCTCAGCTTCCCAGGACTACAGGCACGCACCACCATGCCCAGCTAATTTTTGTATTTTTAGTAGAGACGTGGTTTCACCATGTTAACCAGGATGGTCTCGATCTCTTGACCTCGTGATCCACCCACCTCGGCCTCCCAAAGTGCTGGGATTATAGGCGTGAGACACCGCACCCGGCCTAAAATATATTAATTATTATAAAAATACCAAAACAGTTTAAAAATTATTTGAATTAAATTTAAATACAGACAGTAAACAGATCAGTGGTTGCCAGAGATTAGCAGAATGGGAGTGAAGTGTTGACTTAGGTGAAACAGTGGATTTTTAAAGATAGACTTTAATTCATAGAACAATTTCAGTTTCACAGCAAAATTGAACAGAAAATATAGTTCCCATATACACGCCTACTGCCACACAGGCATAGCATCCTCCACTGTCAACATCCCATACCAAAGTTGTACATCAGTGAACCTATATTGACATATCACCCAAAGTTCAGAGTTTGCATTAAGGTTCACTCTTGGTGTTTTATTCTGTGGGTTTTGGCAAATATATAATGACATGGATCCACCATTATGGTATATCACAGAATAGTTTCACTGCCCTGAAAATCCTTAGTGCTCCTGTTCATCCCTTTCTCCCTGCAACACCTGGCAACCACTGATCTTTCCACTGTCTGCATGGTTTGCCTTTTCCAGAATGCCATATAGTGGGAATCATGGAGTGGCTATCCTTCTCACACTGGCTTCTTTCCTTATATGCATGTAAGTTTTCTCCATGTCTTGTCTTACTAGTTCATATTTTTATTGCTGAATAATATTCCATTGTCAGGCTGTAACAATGTTTATTCATTCACCAACTAAAGGGCATCCTGGTTGTTTCTGTGTTTGGGCAATTATGAAGAAAGCTCCTACAAACATCTGTGTGCAGGTTTTTGTGTGGACATGTTTTCAACTCCTTTGGGTAGATACCAATGAGTGTGATTGCTGGATCATATTGTAAGAGTAAGTTTAGCTTTGTTTTGGGGGTTTTGTTTTGTTTTTTGAGACAGGGTCTTACTCTGTCATGGCTTAGGCTACAGTACAGTGATGTAATCATGGCTTACTGCAACTTTGAATTCCCTAGGTTCAGATGATCCTCCCACCTCAGCTTCCCAAATAGCTGGGACTATAGGCACAGTACTACCACGCCCAGCTATTTTTCTGTTTTTTTTTTTTTTAGAGATGGGGTTTCACCGTGTTGACTGGGCTGGTCTCAAACTCCTGGGCTCAAGCAGTCCTCCCACCTTGGCCTCCCAAAGTGCTTGGATTACAGGCATGAGCCGCAGTGCCTGGCCTAGTTTTATAAGAAACTTACAAACTGTCTTCCAAAGTGGTTGTATCAGCCAGGTCAGGTGGCTAACCCCTGTAATACAGCACTTTGAGAGGCTGAGGTAAGCAGATTATTTGAGCTCAGGAGTTCAAGACCAGCCTGGGTAACATGGCAAGACCCCTGTCTCTACTAAAAATACAAAAAAAAATAGCCAGAGTGGTGGTGGAGCCGAGATTATACCACAGCACTCCAACCTGGGCAACACAGGGAGACACTATCTCAAAAATAATAGTAATAATAATTTAACATGGGAAACTGGTCGCAAATATATCGGAGGGGTTAATTAAGAGCAAAAAGGGAACATGTGAGATTACCCAGAGAGTAGTAACTACGAGAAACTTTGGGCTGGAACTGTGAAAGGGAATATAGTTTTGCCCAGAGCTACTATCATTGACTCTGAGGCTGCTGACGATGGCATCTTTACCATCAACAGGCAGAAAGCCAGGAGCCAATACTCCAGCTTACACTGCAGGCATTCAATAGAGCAACAGCCACAGGAACCCACAAGCTCTGAACAGCTGAGGTTCCTGGAGCCTTTGCTACTACTGCTGGAACTAGGGCTAAGTGCTGCTGCTATAGCTGCTGTTCAAATCCCTCTCCTGAGCAGGAAGCCAAGCTCTAAATTAACTTCATTGTAGGTTATTCACTTATTTATTTATATTTTTGAAATGGGGTCTCGCTCTGTCGCCTAGGCTGGAGTGCAGTGGCCCGATCTGGGCTCCCTGTAACCTCCGGCTCCAGGGTTCCAGCGATTCTAGGAGTCAGTTTAAATAGAAACTGGAAGATTCCTATGAAGATTTTGTTGAAGATTCCATGAAGATTTTGTAAATGATGTTCACAAAATTTTATCAGCCTGATGCCTTTGGTGATGATGGGTATAGTCAATTTTAACTACCTTTTAAAATTATTTTATTCATGGCCTCTTCAGATGTTTTACCTTTTGTCAAGCCAATTTTAGTCATTTATATCTTCCTTTAAAACATCATCCATTTTGTGCCGAGCATGGTGGCTCATGCCTGTAATACCAGCACTTTGGGAGACCGAGATAGAAGGATTGCTTGAGCTCAGGAGTTCAAGATCAGCCTGGGCAACATAGTGAGACCTCATCTCTAAAAAAAACAGAACAAAACAACAACAACAAAAACAAATTAGCCAGGTGTGGTGGCACATGCCTGTATTTCAGCTACTTAAGAGGCTGAGACAGGAGAAGGATCACTTGAGCCTAGGAGGCAGAGGTTGCAGTGAGCTGAAAGCATGCCACTGCTCTCCAGCCTGGGCAACAGAGTGAGACATTGTCTCAAATAATCAGCCATTTCACTGAAACATTTAAATGTATTAATATAGAGTTATATATGTTAATTTCTTGCAATTTTTAAAGTCTCCATATCTGATGTAAGGCTTTTTTTTATTTCCATTGCTTTTGTCTTACTACCTTCCTTCTTAACATTTTACTTTTTTTTTTTTTTTTTTTAGACGGAGTTTGCTCTTGTTACCCAAGCTGGAGTGCAATGGCACAATCTCAGCTCACCGCACCCTCCGCCTCCTGAGTTCAGGCAATTCTCCTACCTCAGCCTCCTGAGTAGCTGGGATTACAGGCACACACCACCATGCCTAGCTAATATTTTGTATTTTTAGTAGAGATGGGGTTTCACCATGTTGACCAGGATGGTCTCGATCTCTTGACCTTATGATCCACCCGCCTTGGCCTCCCAAAGTGCTGGGATTACAGGCTTGAGCCACCGCGCCCGGCAACATTTTACTTTTTAATGAAGTATAATACACATTCCAAAATGTACACATAACATAAATGTACAGCTCACTAGATTTTCACAAACTGAACACATCATGCAGTGTTATCACCTCTAGAAAAGGAGCATAACTCATACCATGAAGCTCCTATGCTCCCTTCTGGTCTTTACACCCCTCCCCCAGCAGTAACTGCTGACCTCCTTCCTAACAGCAAAGGTTGGTGTGATGATTAATTTCATGTGTCACCATGGTTAGGCTATGGAGCCCAGTTCTTTGCTCAAACACTAGTCTAGTTGCTATGAAGGAATTTAATAGATGTGATAACATCTGCAATCAGTTAGGTTCTATGAAAGGGTCATATTAATATATATAAAGCAACCCCCAGATGCCAAAGGAGCTGGGAAACCAAAGAAAGAGGTAGACGAATCCAGTTTTTCAGGTTTTGGGTGATTTACTAGGGGATTATATTTATTGACTTATTAGGGGAACTTACAGACTGAAGTCTTGGGTCTTGCAGTCTTGGGTGGCTGCACCACGCCACAGCCCCCCAGACACACAGTTTATATCTTGGGAAAAAAGCATACATGCTCTGGAAGGAATGTATAGGTGGCTATGGGTGTCATAGCCTGTAATTTCTGCAACAACAAAGAAACTTACAATAAATAGGTGTTCCTACATAAATATTAATACATCAGCTAGACATTTGGAGGCATTCTCAAACTCAGGGTTAGTGGGAACTTACATGGTACATTGCCATTTTCAATTGGCTGGGGATGGTTCCTCATGCCTCTAATCTCAGCGCTTTGGGAAGCTAAGGCAGGCAGATCACCTGAGATGAGGAGTTCAAGACCAGCCTGACCAACATGGTGAAACTCCGTCTCTACTAAAAATAGAAAAATTAGCCAGGCCTGGTGATGGGCGCCTGTAATCTGGGCTACTCAAGAGACTGAGGCACAAGAACTGCTTGAACTGGGGAGGTGGACATTGCAGCGAGCGGAGATCACACCACTGCACTCCAGCCTGGGGGACAGAGCAAGACTCTGTCTCTAAAAATAAAAATAAAGTCACTCTTGTCCCTACAAATTGCCTTTAAGTAAAGGAGATTAACCTTGATAATGTAGCTAGGCCTCATCCATCCAATTGAAGGCCTTAAGATAAAAGACTCAAGTTTCCCAAGGAAAAAAGAATTCTGCCTCAAGTCTGTAACACAGAAATCCTTCTGGAGTTCCTAACCTACCCTGCAGACAAGAGACTCAAGACTGCAGCATCATTTCCTGACCCATATCTAGCCCACCAGCTTGTCTAAGGATTTTAAACTTAACAGCCTGCACAATCACATGAGCCAATTCCTTTTAAGATAAATCCCTTTTGTATTCCTAGAAATAAGAAAGATATAAATATTTTCTTGTTTCTCTGTAGAACCCTAACTGATGCAGATTTTATCCTGAGAGTAGTTCTGGAAGAAGAGAATCTGAAGGATGAATTTTTGGAATTGGTTCTGTAGTTTCTGGAATTGGTTTTCTAATCTGGTTGGATTTTAAGGCACTAATGACTACCTCCCATGGTAAAGGGAGCACCTACAGTGTGATATGGCAGTAGAGATACCCAAAATACTGCCATTGCACACTTCTACTCAAATATTTATGAGAGGCAAGTTCTGGGTGGCCACATATTTGCCACCTTAGGACATTTTTATCAAATTAATGACTATAATGAAATTGGCTGGTGCTGTTAATTGTGCTTGACAAGATAAGGAAAGAAAGGATGAACTCAGGGCTTCAAACTTCCAGCTCAACCACTATATAACTGAGTGGAAAGTTTCTGTATCTTCCCTGAAAACAAACAAATAAACAAACAAAAAGTACTTATCCTCTGTAGCCACAAACAAAAAGTACTTATCCCCTGTAGCCACAGAGCTGACATATCTGAAAGCCAAATCCAGAGTCTCATCTGCAAATGATTGAATTATGACACAAATTGAATTCCCAACCTCACAGGGAGCCTCTGCTGTTAAAGTAATGGCAGGAATTGGGAAGGAAAGGGTCCTGAATTGTTTCTCTCTCCTAGAGCCTTCATATGAGGACACCTAAAAATTTGAATGGGGACATGTGGGCAGATCCTGGTGAAGCTGGGGATATTGAGCTCCTAAATTCTGCAGAGTGTTCCCTGCCAGTAGAAGCAAGCCTTCCACCCCATCTGAGACATTGACTCTGCTCTCCCTCAGGAGCCTATGATGGCCTCTTCTGAGGTAGCTGCCTTAGAAGACACTGCTGATTCCTCAGGACCTACCCTAAGCACCCCTCTTTGCTTTTGGAACTATGACAAGACTCAAGTCCCTGCAGGCCATGAAAGGTGAGATACAAAGTGTGACTCAGGAGGTTCACTGTTCTCCAAAAGAACTGCATGATGGTTCCAATTTGTACAGACAAATCTGGGGAATAGCACAGACAAGTACATATACAGACAAGTCTGTGGGAGCGAGTGTTAGGGTGTGGGATAATGATGCAAGGAACATGAAGTTGGATGGGGTGCAGTTTATTGAGATAGGTCCACTAGTTAGATCTTCTGAATTCAGTGTTGCACCTCCAGGGCTTAGTAAAGGGCTCTGACAGTTTGGTTTGGCTGAAAGGTGGCCCACGCTAAATAAAGTTGAAAGGCCAGAGCTGACTTTGTGCACTGTAGAGGAAGGTATAGGGAGGTTGCAATGTTAGATTTCACATGTAACACCTGCTCACCCACTCTAGGAGCATCCAGAGGACGTACCTTTCACCATGACTGAGAATAAATCTGTGAGGCGAGCCCCTGCACCATCGAGGAGCTCCAGTAGCTGCTTTTCCTTGTAGGTCAGAAATTGTAGGGGGATCTATTGTCACAGAACTGGAGATCCTTAAATGCAGTGCACGTAACTGGTTTCTGGGATAGCAGGGGACAAGTGACAACACTTAATTGCCAAAAGCAAGGAGAGTATGTTTACCATAATGGGCACCAGAGTCAAAGCGATAATAATAGCCTGACTGGCAGAGACCTATGGCATTGGCTATTGATCATGGTGTCCCTAGAAGAGAGTAGACGGACAGCCTATTAAATTCTTACTTGATATGTATAATTAGAAGAGATCTAGGTCAAGTGAACAAAAACCTGACTTGAATCATAAAAACAGAGAGTCACAGCTCTTTACTCAATTCCCAGAATTGAACCAGTTTACAGACCTAGAATCCCTGAGTGAAGGGAAAGTGAAGTCACCTTGAAGAAGGACACTGCTATACTGTGAAAATGTATACTGTTAATCTTCCTCTCAGGTGTCTCCAAACGGACCTATGGTCTTTTACCATGGTGATTGTACATTGTGGAAAAGAAAATAATCAGACTTTTGTGGGATTACTGAACTGGCTCTGAACTCACACTGTTTCCAGGAGGCCCAAAACATCACTGTGGTCACCATTCAGAGTAGGGGCTTATGAAGGTAAGATGGTCAGTGGAGCCCAGGTCCATCTCACTTTGGGCCAGTGGGTCCCTAAACCCATCCAGTGGTTACTTTCCCAGTTTCAGGATGTATAACTGGTATAGACCAGTTACTCAGCAACTGGCAGAATCCCCACACTGGTTCCTGTGGAGTGAGGAACAGCTGGTTCCTGATACTGTGGTAGGAAAAGCCAAGTGGGAGCCACTAGAACTGCCTCTTCCAAGGGAAAATAGTAAACCAAAAACAATCCCAAATTTCTGAAGGAATTTCAGAGATTAGTGTCATCATTAAGGACTTGAACAAAGCAAGAATGGTGGCTTCTCCCACATCCCTTCAATGAGCTCATTTGGCTGTGCAGAAAAAAAGATGGATCTTGGAGAATGACACCTGTAGACTTAACCAGGTGGCCACCCCAGTTGCAACTCCAGTTCCAGATGTGGTTTCATTGCTTGAGTAAATTAACACATGCCTTGATACCCCGGTACTTGGTGCACAGCTATTGATTGGCAAATGCTTTTTCCTCAGTATCTATTAATAAAGATTGCCAGAAGTAATTTGCTTTCAGCTGGCAAGGCTAGCAATACACCCTTACTGTTTTGTTAGTCTGATCAGGCTGCCATAACAAAATACCACGGGCCTGGGTGGTTTAAACAACAGAAATTTACTTTTTCTTTTTCCTTTTTTTTGAGATGGAGTCTTGCTCTGTTGCCCAAGCTGGAGTGCAGGGCGTGATCTTGGCTCACTGCAACCTCCACCACTCTTCAAGCGATTCTCCTGCCTCAGCTTCCCAAGTAGCTGGGATTGAAGGTGTGCACCACTGCAACCAGCTAATTTTTGTATTTTTAGTAGAGACAGTGTTTCACCAAGTCAGCCAGGCTGCTCTCGAACTCCTGACCCCAGATGATCCACCTGCTTTGGCCTCCCAAAGTGCTAGGATTACAGGTGTGAGCCACTGCGCCCAAGAAATGTACTTTTGTGTGTGTGTGTCTTTTTGTTTTTTTTTCCTTTTTGTGGAGAACGGGGTCTTGCTATATTGCCCAAGCAGGTCTCGAACTCCTGGGCTCAAGCTATCCTTCCACCTCTGCCTCCCTAAGAGCTGGGATTACAGGCGGGAGCCACAGTGCCTGGCAGAAATTTACTTTTTAACAGTTCCAGAGGCTAAAAGCCCCAGATGGAGATGCTGGCAGATTTGAATTCTACTGAAGACTCTCTTCTTGGCTTGTAGACTGCCACCTTTTCACTGTGTCCTCACACGGCCTTTGTTCTGTGCTTGTGGGTAGAGAGAAATCTCTGTTGTCTCTCTCTTCTTATAAGGCCACCAGTTCTATTAGATAAAGGCCCCCCCCTTACGATCTTATTTAATTTTGATTACCTCCCTAAAGGCCTTCCCTCCAGAAATAGTCAGATTTGGGGTGAGGACTTCAACATAAGAATTTGGAAGAATACAATTCAGTCTATAACAACTGTCTTATGTCAGGAGTATATTAAACTCACCATTCTTATCATAATATAGTCTTCAGGAATTTTGATCACCTTTCTCTTCGACAAGATATCATACCACTTTAGTTCATTGATGGCATTATGTTGATTGGATCTGATGAGCAAGATGTAGCAACTGCTCTAGACTTAGTGGTAAGAAATGTGCATGTCAGAGAATGGAGAATAAATCCAACTAAAATTCAGGGGCCTTCTCCCTCAGCGAAATTTCTAGGGATCCTTGCTTACAAAATGAAAGATAAGTTGTTGCATTTGGCTCCTCCTATAATCAAAAAAAGAGGTACAATGCCTTTTTGGATTTTGGAGGCAAGACATTCCTTATTTGGGTGTGCCACTCTAGCTCATCAACCAAGTGACCTGAAAAGCTGCTAGTTTTGAGTGAGGGCCCTTGGCCCCTAGTCCTACTACACAATCTTATCTGTTCCAGCCCCCATCTATGGACTCATGCAGAGTTTCCTATAATCAGTTGACTGAGAAAGATAAGACACAGATATACCAGGTGCATAGATGGTTCTGCGTGATATGCAGGCACCCCAATATGGACAACTGCAACATACTATTCCCTTACTGGGACAATCTGAGAAACGGTGCTGAAGGAATTCCTCCCAGTGGGGGCAATCCCCAACTTTGGGCGATGCACCCAGTGGTTCTCTTTGTTTGGAAGGAGATATGGCAAGAGGTATATTCACTTGTGAGATTTTGTTTGATGATCGGGGACTTGGAAAGAACATTTTTGAAAATTAGTGACAAAGAAATTTGATGTCTCTCTCTTTGAATGAATCAAAAAATGTGAAGATATTTGTGTCCCATGTGAATACCCACCAAAGGGAGACATCTACAGAAAAGGATTTTAATAATAGGATAGAATTACCTGTTCTGTGGCTACCAGGCAGCCTCTTTCCCTATCTGCTCCTGTCATGTTCAATGAGTTCATGAACAAAGCAGCCATGGTGTCAGGGATGGAGGTTACACATGGATTCAGCAGTATGGGCTTCCACCCACTATGGCTAACCTGGCTACACCCACTACTGAGTGCCCAATCTGTCAGCAGAGACCAATCCTGAGTCTCCAATATGGCACCATTCCCTGGTTGATCAGCCAGCTACAGGTGGCAGGTTGGTTACATTGGACTCCTTCCATCATGGTAGGTTGGCATTTCGTCCTTTCTGGAGTTGACACTTAGTCTGAATATGGATTTGTTCTCCCTGTACACAATGCCTCTGAACTATCCATGGATTCCCAGAATGCCATATTCGCCACTGTGGTAGATTCCACAAAGCATTGCTTCTATTCTATTCACTATTCTATTCAGCCTGCTGTTTCAGGATGGTGGGGAACATGGTAAGACCAGTGACTTCCTTGAGCCTGTGCCCATTGCTGCATTTTTCTTTTTTTTTTTTTTTGCTGTGACATGAGTGCTTTGATAAGAACAGTGGAATGGCCTTTTGAGGACATAGATACAGTGCCAGGTAGGTGGTAATGCCTTGCAGGGCTGGGGCAATATTCTCCAGGAGGCTGTATATACTCTAAATTAGCACCCAAGGGGCTGGGCATGATGGTTTATGCTTGTAAACCCTGCACTTTGGGAGGCTAAGGTTGGGGGATCACTTGAGCCTAGGAGTTCGAGACAAGCCTGAGAGACATAGCAAGGCCCTGTCTCTACAAAAAAAAAGTTTAAAAATTAGCTGAGTGTGGTGGCACGTACCTGTACTCCCAGCTACTCAGGAAGCTGATATGGGAGGGTCACTTGAGCCCAGGAGGTTGAGGTTACAGTGAGCCTTGATCATGCCTCTGCACTCCAGCTTGGGTGACAAAGGAAGACCCTGTCTCAAAACAAGTAAATATAAGTTAGCATCCAATATAGGATGCTGCTTCTCCCAGAGCCATGATACACAGGTCCAGGAATCGAAGGATGGAAATGGAAGTGGTACCACTCACTATTGCCCCTACACTGACCCACTAGCAAAGTGTTTTCTTCATGTCCTGTGACCTAATGCACTACTGATCTAAAAGTCTTAGTTCCAAAGGGAAGAACGATTCCACCAGGAAACGCAATAATGATTCCACTGAACCAAACACAACGATGATGCCACTGAACTCTAAGTTAAGATGCCACCCAGCCACTTTGAGCTCCTCGTGCCTCTGAGTCAACAGGCTAAGAAGGGAGATGCTGTGTTTCCTGGGATGATTGTTCCTGGCTACCAAGTGAAAATTGGGCTGCTACTCCTCCACGGAGCTAAGTAAGAGTGCATATGGAGTACAGGAGATCTCTTAGTACTCCTGTGATTAAAGTCAACGGAAAACTATAACAACCTAATTCAGGCCATACTGCTAAATGGTCCAAACTCTTCAGGAAGGAGGTTTGGGTCACCCCACCAGGTGAAGAACCATGTCCAGCTGAGGTGCTTGCTGAGAGCAAAGGGAATCTGGAATGGGTAGTGGAAGAAGTTAGTTATAAATACCAGCTATAACCACATGGCCAGTTACAGAAATGGGAACTGTAATGGTTATGAGTATTTCTTCCTTATTTGGTTACAAATGTGTGGTGTGTGTGTGTTTAGAAAATATCTTTGCCTTCTTCTCTCTCTTATATAACATAGACATATCTTAGTATTTCAGTTACAGGATATCAAAGAGAAAAGTAAACGTGACCCAAGAACCCTGCATCCTTCTCTGGGGAAGGGTTAGTGTGTCTCTGGTTTTACCCAAGATAGTTGAATCAGGGGAGATGCAAATGTGATTTTGCTATTATCTGGAGATTAAATATAGTTTAAGGAGATATGTATAGGTGCCAAGTTGACAAAGAGTTCACTGCAGTAGTTAATTTTGTGTCACTATGGTTAAGCTATGGTGCCCAGTTGTTTGCTCAAACACTAGGTCTAGAAGTTGCTGTGAAGGTGTTTTGTAGGTGTGACTAATGTCTACAATCCATTGACTTTAAGGAGATTACCCTCAATAATGAGAGTGAGCCTAACCCATTCAGTTGAAGGCCTTGAGAGCAAAGACTGAGGTTTCCCAGGGAAAACAAAGGAATTCTGCCTCAAGACTGTAACACAGAAATCCTACCAGACTTTCTGATTTGCTGACCTGCCCTACAAATTATAGACTGGCCAGACCTCACAGTCACATGAGCCAATTCCTTTAAATAAATTCCTTTAAAATATATCCATCTATCTCCTATTAGTTCTGTTTTGCTGTGAAACCGACTGGTACAGTTAGTTTCACTTGTTTTGTGCTTCCTGTACATGAAATTACACAACACATACTTTTCCTACCCAGCTCCTTTTGCTCTACATGGCGTTGGTGAGCTTCATCCACAGCTCACATCAGGTCCATCTGTGAACTGTGTGTGCACTGCAGGGTAAGACCAACTGTCTGCATGTGTAAAGTTGCTGTGAGACAGGAGCCAGCAGATGGCACTACGACATCTCATATGGAACTTGGAAAGGTCCTGTGACTGCGGGTTCCTAGGTGTCAGCCACAGCTGAATTTTTCAGTGGTCT